ATAAATATTTCTTCAACTTGCATTTGCTAACTTTATTATTGCTTTTTCTGTCCGACTAGTTGGGTGATACTAAAACAATTAGACCCTTTGCCCTTAAGGGCCACGGGTCTATAGCCCATTCGGCTTTGCCTTATGGGCTATTGACCTGTAGCCCTTGCAGGCTACGGGTCTAATTGTTAAGTAGTCACAGGCTAGAGCACTGAATTAAATATAATCAATAATTATTATTGATTGAATTTTTAAAGTCATTTTTTAATGCAGAAAGTATACGTGTATGTATGTCGTGATATATTAAATAAATATATGTTGTAATATAATCAGGGGTAATTTTATGCAGGGAAGCTGGTGTTGGATTTGCAACATCTCCACCATCAAACCCACAGTTTGACTGCACCAGAACTGAGCTTCTCAAGCTGCTGTTGACTTGTTTTTCTGAAGCTATGTACCTTCCTCCAACAGGTTAGTTTACAATGTTTATCATTGTATTAAATTTTCTTGAAGTAGTTGGATTTTAGTCATAATTATAACTACAAGTTTATTGATTCAGAAAAAACCCTATTCACTTAAAATTACTTTCTAATATTGCTTAAATTATATGTACTAACTTGGGTAAAAGACGTTTATGCATTGAAGGTTAGAACAAACCCTCTTCACTTAAAATTACTTTCCAATATTTGCTTAAATACATGTACTAACTCTGGTAAAATAATTTTATGCATTGAACGTTTAATTTTTTGCAGCTGAGAACCACTGTCGCCCAAATAAATGGCTTTCATTTTTCTCCTCCTCTGGAAATAGGTCAGAAATAGTTTTCTACATTTACAGTACATGTGAAGAACAATTTACAATCATGTGAAGGGAACAAAAGTGTTGCAACACCTATTAAGAATTAATAGAAGCATTGGATTTCCACATGCCAACCTCTGTTATTATTACTGGATGGGAGAGGACCTTTTTAGCAGAAGAACCAATGTTTGTTAGACTATAAACTTCATTCTATCTACATGGTTGTTAAAAGCAGAAGAGGAAGATCAAAGATGGAAGTGTTTGATGATGTTTTACTGTTTATGTACACTTCCACTGCTAACAGTGGAAAATTTTTTCCCAGCACATCATGGAGTTTATTAACCCCTAAAAGCAACATGCCTATAGTTAACAGTGCATGCATGCATAATTGTAAACATGAGTGAACATGTATGTTTGTATCTTTATATCATGTGGGGTAGTAGACAAGCTTACTCTACAGTACTAGATGTTGGCCCAGAAGAGGAAGGGTGTGTGCTGTTCATGTATATTTTTGCGGAGGCAGCACAGCCAAGTGGTTAGGGTGCCGGACATGAAATCCGGAGGTTGCAGGTTCAAGTCCCGCTTTGACCACTGAGCTGGAGTTGTTTCTTGGTAGACCCTAGTTCAACTCCTTGGTCATGCTTGTAAATAGCCAACTGGTCTGCCTCCCACTAGTTGGGATTTTTAACCATGTTACGTGTACAGTATGTACAGTACCATGTATGTTCATTTCCATTATTTGTTTCATCATTTGGTTTCATTGGCCCTGAAAAGCTCCATTGGGGGATTGCTCAATTAAGATATTTATTTTATTTATATAACACGAAGGTGTTTCCTGTAAATATTTTCTAAACTCTTAAATCTCCAGTTAATAATTACATGTACTGGTATACTCATCTTTTGGACGTTTCTTCTTTTAGGCATGCTCTTCCAATATTCACTTCTCTTTTAAACATTGTGTGTTGTTACGATCCTCTTGGATATGGAGTGCCGTAAGTACATTAGCTTCTGTGAATATTTCATGAATGCTGCAATGGCTTGGGGCAGTGCTATTGATATAATGTATATTTATGAATTAAAATCCTTGAAAAAGGTATTAAATTTCAGAGCAAGTGGCTTTGAGGATTTGTTCATATACTGTATTATCATCTAAGTTATGTTGGAGATGGGGTGCACTGACAATGGCATCATCAATCAAACTCCCTCAGGCTTTTAGCCGCGATTTGAAAAGTGGGCATCCAAAATGTGCTATAGGGTCTGCTCAAATGAGACAAAAAGCAATTTTCTTTTAAAAATGGGTGTCAGTCCACAGGATGCCTGGATGTCCATAGGCCAAAGGCCTTAACTACCTGCATTGTAGCTTGGCATTGAGACCTAATCAAGTTGCATGATTATTGGGAAATTGTTTAGACAATAATTGAAGTCTGACAAAATCTTTGGAGGTAACTTCTGATAGACAAGGAAAGGTAGTATGCAGCACTCCTAGACTCTTAAAATTAATGGCAGTAGGTACCTTGTTACATTTTTGTGCAGTTATGTTTTGTTTCCATTTTTTTCAGATACAACCACCTAATGTTTGCAGATTACCGTGAGCCACTGGTGGAGGTAGCTGCGCAGCTGCTTGTGGTTTTATTGGACCATGAAACAATGCAGCAGGCTGCAGCCACAATGAATGGCACTGATGCTGAGCACGCCTTTGAGGTAAGCTGCCCCCACCCACTACATGCCAAAGGAGTTTCTTTCCAAACTTTTGCATGCAAGGGAAGTCTGTCAACAACTGTCATCACCAGTTACCCTAAATGTGCTTACAAATAGAAAATAGCTTTATAATAATATATTATTTATACTGAAATTTAGAACAGAGTTTACTTTACTTTTAGGTGGAGATCTGACTGCATTTATTCTTTTACATACATGTATAGGAGCCTCCAGTGGATAACCTGTTCTGCAACTACTTGTCACGAATACACAGAGAAGAGGTAATCAACCTGATTGAATGGCTACAATCCTGCGTGGGTCACTTTGGATAATTACTTATTAGTATAACGTCTTCTTTTGCAGGATTTTTATTTCGTTCTTCATGGTATTGCAAATTTGCTAAATAACCCACTAATTCAAGTAAGTTTAAACCTGTTTTCCAATGAAAGTAAATCTGTATACATTTAGTGTAGGGTTTTGCTTGTATCAGTTTTTTTTTTTTCCTCTTCTTTTCTGCAAAAATGTAGTTAGTATTAGAAATTGCAGAGAAAAGGCAAATTTTAAACTGTTATTATTTTATTCTTTGGTTCAGACTTACCTTCCAAATTCTTGCAAGAAGGTCAGTTTCCATCAAGAATTGCTTGTTCTTTTCTGGAAAATGTGTGACCAAAACAAGGTAAATATGTAAATTAATTCTACCTTAAAGTATACAAAAATTTATATTTATTAATATGACATGTAGAATGCTATCACAAATTCCGTTTCTCCTTGGCATACAATGTAGACGCATCTCCACAGCCAAATTAAATAGATTTGTAGACTCTTAAATTATATGAAATTAAATTTATTCACAGATTCTCTCAAAGATTTTAAACAGTTTTAAAGTAGTCTTGGGCCACTACATGTAGGTGAAAAAGTCATGGAAACCTTTTCCAAAGCTTGAAAAAATTATTATGAATTCTCCTAAACCCAAATTGCCATATGTTGGTTGTTTGTGTAACAGGGCTGTCGTTGAGTTTTGAGTTGCTTGTACAGCGTTCTTCACGCCTGTAGCAAACTTATTCCTTTGTGGGTGAATTCTTTCAACCAAAGACAACTTAGTCCATAACATCAAGGGAAAATCAAGCATACTCAGCCTTAACAGGTGTTACAGGTTACAGCTCTTAATGACAGCCCTAAATGTACATGTGCAAAGAAAGAGGTTTGTGGCCAAGGGCTGGCTGCTGGCTAAAGACAATGTATTTTTGGCTGAAATCACTTGAAAACAAAGACTTTCATTGATAAACTTTGGAGCTGCCAAGACCATAAAAGCCAGCTGAGTTTGGCTTGTTTTCTGAGATAATCCTAACGAGAAATCTTTCTGTTTGTAGAAATTTTTGTTTTATGTGCTGAAGAGCAGTGATGTGCTGGATATCTTGGTTCCAATACTTTTCCACTTAAATGATGCAAGATCTGACCAATGTGAGTTCTGCTGTTATTTTTTTGGCTCCTGTTTACAGTGCTGCCTGGGTTATTTTCTTGTCTCTTTTGATCATTTATGAGATATGGTACTGAGTTGTTAATACTGTCTTGTAATCTTTTTTCAGCTCGACTAGGCTTGATGCATATAGGAGTGTTCATATTGCTACTGTTAAGCGGAGAAAGAAATTTTGGTAAGTACATGTACAGATAGTTACATGTATACAATGCATAATATTCAAGGAGTGAATTAGTCAGATTTATATCTCTATTCACCAATTCATTGCGTACATGTATCTATTGGACAGTATTTGTTCATTGGTTGGGATAAAATTTTTCCAATGACACCGTGAAATCTAAGACCTTTAGGCAGTGTTTGGCGAGTGTGGAAGAAACTCCTAGAGATGCCAAATGAAGTAAAATGAACTAAGATTCCTTGTAAATGAAGAGTTATGTTTACAGTTAATTTAATCACCTTACATGTAGTAAGATTAATAGGATAAATGTAAATAATATTATTTTGTTATCTAGGTGTCCGTCTCAATAAGCCATATTCTGTCAGGGTTCCAATGGATATCCCAGTCTTTACAGGGACGCATGCTGACTTTCTAGTCATTGTAAGTACTGTTGAACCCTGCTGTTTGGCACTCTTAGGGGAAATGAAAAAATGCAATCTAAGTAGTTCCATTTAGCAGGAGTTTAAAATAGCCAATATTAAATGACTGAAGCACAAAATTAATACAAGGGAAATGGTTTTGAATTTGAAAAAATGAGAATTCAAATAACTGAGTTTGAATTATTGGGTTCCAGCTGTATCTCTTGCTGCTCATACATGTATTGTTCTTGAGTTTGTGGCAATTCCAAACCTGTCTTCTGTACACGAAATTATGTACTACAAAACCTCACAGACTTAGCATTTATTACATACCCACATTATACAATGTAAATTGTTTAAATTTGTTTGTGATATAATTGTACAAAGGTATCTTAACCTAAATAATTTGGTACAATCACTGGTCTGTGGAATATTTTATATTTTCCAACAATTTTGCGAGTCAATTAGTTACTGAATAGTAACTACATATTGTACGCTATATCTTTTTGCAGGTTTTCCATAAAATCATAACAAATGGCCATCAGAGACTTCAGCCACTGTTTGATTGTCTTTTAACAATAATTGTAAATGGTGAGTGTTCACTTGACTATTTATGCTGTAAAATCTCACATTGGAGTAACTTTTTCCCCTTAAGCACTCTCATAAATTAGAAGTATTAATAGAATACTTCAATGCCAGTTGGTCACTTAGCTTTTGAAGAATAACTGCTTCTTAATCGGTAATTTGTCCTTCTCTCTTGAGCATGGAGTACTTATTTTTCTCAACATGTATTGATTTTTTGATCATAGTGCAAAGTGTCTAACTCTGCTGCCTTTTTTGCCTTTTTTTTTTGCTTTCTAGTTTCTCCTTATTTAAAATCCTTATCAATGGTGGCTGCTAATAAACTGCTTCATCTCCTGGAGGTAAGAGCATGTTTTGCAATTTTCAAAGACAGCTAAAAATGTGATTTGCAGCTGTGTATTTTTTTTTATGAACTTTTAAAGCCAGTTGTGCTGTGTACAAGTTTATTGATCAAGTTTAGTACCTTTTGTTCTCTTGTAGGCATTTTCCACTCCTTGGTTCCTGTTCTCCAATGCCACTAATCACCACTTGGTATTTTTCTTGTTGGAAATCTTCAATAATATCATTCAATACCAATTTGATGGTTAGTATGTTACATGCTGTTTAATTCAAGTTTTCCTACACAACTGTTTAGGGGTTTATGATGAAGCTCTGCTGCTTCGTGTATGCTGTCGAATTACAAAAGGGAAAATTTTAGTTCACATTTTCTGGGTCTCTGTTAGGGTTAAGTAAGTTCACATTATCAAATAGACAGGTCGCAAAAAGAATTAAGAAATTTGTAAATAAGCTCTTAGTATACTATTGATGAAACACAATATTTTCAAAAATTACATGAAGGAAGTGTGTGGAGAATTAAATAACAATTGGTCTACAGTAGAATTAACGTCCTGCTTTCAGTGTATTCACATATAAAATAAAATGACATCAACACATCATTTCTTCTTTTTAGGAAATTCCCATTTGGTGTATGCAATTATAAGAAAGAGGAATATCTTTCACCAAGTATGTTTCTACAATAACTTTCTGTTATTACTGTGTACACTGAAATTACAATAAATCCTACTGTTTATACTTTAAGAACTCGAATACCAAGGTTTTTATATATCCCTTTCCTGACAACAGTTAATTATCCCATACCACAACAAAATGACATAATGAGTGCTCAGAAGACGTCAAAAAGTTTTTAGACAATGCCTGTTAGATTTCTTTTCTATTTTTCAACACTGAAATGGAAAACTGAAGGGTACTAAAATAGCTGAGAGAGCATGACTTTTTGTAAGTGTCATTTCAATATTGTTGCGCTCAAGAGTATGTTTTATACATGCATATCCACTCTTTTAAAGTATTGACTGTTTTTGCTTTCAGTTGGCAAATCTTCCAACTGATCCTGCGACCGTTCAAAAACCAAGAAGACGACTTACATCACAGGGCTCTGATAGGTAAAATGAAGTTATGATTTTTCTACTAACAGCAGAATTGCCAATGCACTAGTTATTAGACTATGCGCCTGCCTCACAAATTTTTAACCTGACTCATTCTCAGGATTTCCCAATTGACTGATGTGTAGAATGTAATGAGGGAGAATGTCCTTGAGGGACAAATGCTTGTGTCACCTGTGTTTGTGTGTAAAGGCTGTCTTTTCTCTTTCAGGGAGGCCCAGGCCTCTATTAGTGAAGGAGAAGAAAAGAAACCTGGAAAGAGCACTTCAGCATCAGAGAACATGCCTGAGATGTCCGCCGATAGTAAGTTATTCTTTCACGCTTTTATACTAACAATCATGTAGTTTGCATATTTAATGTTCTGACCTCTTTTGTTCAAGGCTGGATAACACTATCCGCTGGATAAATCGCTATCTTGTGGATAAGAGTTAACAAAACAAACCACGCTATCAGTTGGATAGTGATTTATCTGGTGGATAGCATTATCCACCTTTTGAACAACCCAGGCTTGAGTGTTTGTGGTTGTGTCAGATTAAGGAGATATGTTTGAGTTTGTTTTACAATAAATGTTAATTAGCCTTGCTGCTGTGTTTGCAGATTTAATGAATAAGCCATTTCTGAATCACTCTTACCTCTGTTTGAAAATGAAATGCACGTCCAAATCAAACTCATATCCGTATCAAAGGTTGTACACCAGGACTTGTTTTAAAACAGAGGTAAAAAGCAACTCGAAAATGGCTTATTGCAAAGAGCTTGAAAAAAATTCAGTGCTTCAACGAGATTTGAAGCAATGACTCTTGCATCACCAGTTTTATGCTCCATCAACTGTGTTGTGAAGCTACACAGTGAGAACAAGATCAATTGTGAGTTAAACACAAATTGTGATAAACACAAACCAAATGATTGCTTTTCATCTTTGTCTGAGCAGTGTCTGTAAAAGAGGTTCGTAATCCTGCTAGTGAATCAGAGTCCAGTGACGTAGAAGCGCGCTCTGTAGGAGACCCGACCCCGCCCAGTACCCCGGGAACATCACGTACAGAGAGAAAGTCTATTGGCCGATCCGCTTCTGTTACAAGCTCAGGACCATTTGTAGCAACACCAGAGTGGGTGAGTAATAGAAATCTCAGTCTCAAAACTATTACTTCTCAGTACTAAATGCCCTACATTTCTTGTAGAGTTGTTTTAGAGAATAATTATAGTGGTTCATCAAGACAATTTCTTCTAGTTGATATTTTTTCCTATTCTCATCACCTGACTATGCTTGACATTGTAGATGTATTTAGACTGTAAAGAGACATTAAGTGGTGAACACTCTTGGAAAAAATATTTTACTAGATCTGTTATGACGCACTGACAAAGTATCAACTGAAAAAAATCATGTGCAGACCTCTAAATGCTTGATTTATGCTTCATTCTTCATGTGGAACTGAATACTTCAGTGTAATCTTTCCCATTTTGTATTTTAATTTCTTTTCTTTGGCAGGTCCAGTCCTGGAAACAGAAGCTTCCTCTCCAGACGATTATGAGAATGCTCCAAGTTCTTGTTCCCCAAGTGGAGAAGATTTGCATCGACAAGTAAGCTAACANAGCCTTGCTGCTGTGTTTGCAGATTTAATGAATAAGCCATTTCTGAATCACTCTTACCTCTGTTTGAAAATGAAATGAGATTTCCGTGCATGTCCAAATCAAACTCATATCCATATGAAAGGTTGAACACCAGGACTCGTTTTAAAACAGAGGTAAAAAGCAACTCGAAAATGGCTTATTGCAAAGAGCTTGAAAAAATCCAGTGCTTCAACGAGATTTGAAGCAATGACTCTTGCATCACCAGTTTTATGTTCCATCAACTGTGCTGTGAAGCTACACAATGAGAACAAGATCAATTGTGAGTTAAACACAAATTGTGATAAACACAAACCAAATGATTGTTTTTCATCTTTGTCTGAGCAGTGTCTGTAAAAGAGGTTCGTAATCCTGCTAGTGAGTCGGAGTCCAGTGATGTAGAAGCGCGCTCCGTAGGAGACCCGACCCCGCCCAGTACCCCTGGAACATCACGTACAGAGAGAAAGTCTATTGGCCGATCTGCTTCTGTTACAAGCTCAGGACCATTTGTAGCAACACCAGAGTGGGTGAGTAACAGAAATCTCAGTCTCAGAACTACATGTATTACTTCTCAGTACTGAATTCCCTACATTTCTTGTAGAGTTGTTTTAGAGAATATAGTGGTTCATCAAGACAATTTCTTTTAGTTGATATTTTACCCTATTCTCATCACCTGACTATGCTTGACATTGTACATGTACTTAGACTGTAAAGAGATAGTAAGTGGTGAACACTCTTGGAAAAAATATTTTACTAGATCTGTTATGACGCACTGACAAAGTATCAACTGAAACAAATCATGTGCAGACCTCTAAATGATCATCAAGGATGACTGTTTGATTTATGCTTCATTCTTCATGTGGAACTTAATAATTTAGTATAATCTGTCCCATTTTGTATTTTAATTTCTTTTCTTTTGCAGGTCCAGTCCTGGAAACAGAAGCTCCCCCTTCAGACAATTATGAGAATGCTCCAAGTTCTTGTTCCCCAAGTGGAGAAGATTTGCATCGACAAGTAAGCTAACAGCATTTTTACCTCGTTTGAACTATGGAGAGAACTATGGAGAGATTCATGGTCAGCTAGGCTTCTGACATGTTCATGGTTCATGCCCTCCGCGTCACCGCGTGTCTATTGTACTCTTGAATCATTGGCCACGCTGTTCCGATGGTGAAGTCACTTGGTTTAGCGCTTCAGACCGTAAAGATCCTCTCGAAAGCCGTGAACTGAATGTTGCTAGTGAATGAATATGTGAATCTATACCGCAAGAGTAGAAACATGCGGTGCGTGAAATATTCTTCGTGGATGAGGTGCTTAGAGTTCAAAAGGAGCGGCAGAAACAATGTTCAGCAGAGGTTAATCGATATCTTTGTTTTTCCAGGAACATTGATCCTCCGATCTGGTATGACACGGATGTCAAACTGTTTGAAATTCAAAGAGTGTAGAAAGCCAGTCCGAAGCAGAACGGCGAGAGAAATAATAAACATTTCCTGCCGTCGACGAAAAGACAATGTTATAATCTTTCGTCAAGTAGCGGGAATTATTTTATGTCAGGAACGGATTCATTTTACAATTAATTTGAGACCATTGCGGTCACGCTTGAGGTTCCCTTGCGAGGTAAACTTGTTGTATAAAGGTGCTCATTGGTACAAAGTATTCTGCAGATTGTCTGTACGGAATATTTATCAGTTTAAGCTGCAGAGTTACGTTACCAAGGTACTAAATCGTGGAATCCCCATTTCTGTAACCCTTGATTTTTCGAACCTCCTGATAACTCGAACTAAACGTCGTTTCCCTCTCCTTCCTTGAACACTGTAATTTTACCCGCGATTGCTCGAACTACGCAAATTTTGAAACCAATTTACGTTTCCCTTGGAGATTTGAAAAATCGGGATTTCTCTACAATCTTTTCTGTGGTGGGTTGCCATGCGGCGGATGCCTGAAGCGTTGGGGCAGAATTAAATTATGAGAGGATGTTTTGTGGCCGTTAATTTAACACAAGATCTAACAGTTTTTTTTGGCCATATTGTTTGCCAATCAGGTCTTAACTTTAATTCTCCCGCTAGGTTCGCTGGTTAGCTCCTTTGGAGCAGAAGGGACGTTGAAAGTTTGAATGGATTGCCTCACGCGTTATGTTGAATGACAATTAACTGTACATAATGAATTTTAACGTAGAATAGTTAGACAGCATGTCTTGACTAATAGGGTTATCGGTTGTACATGTATCTTCATTGTTTAGCCCGCCAAGGTATTTAATGAAAAAGAGGTTAAACCTTTAAATTCTCCAAAAGGACGCAACATATTGCAAAAACAGTTAGAACGCGGGAACTTTCCGGGGGTTCTTTCTGCCCGTCAAGAATGTATGTAATAGTAGAAAGGAACATGCTTGCTCTAATAAACAGGCGAAATGTATCTTTTGTTTGAATTCTGCCCTAGAAATAACGAGTTAAGATGTTTTTCTCTCAGGAATAAAATCGGGAATGCACGCATTTGGTAGAGAAATCTATCACACTGGGTTTGCAGTGAAAGCAGTGCTACAGTCTCTGCAAAATAATGCGACAGCCGAGAGATTGATTCAAATGACTTGTGTCATGGATTTTCCGATGCTACCCTCCGCTCTGGGATTTGTCGAGAAACTGGTTCCATTATTAGATGTTTTGTGACCTGGAAGTCACAATAAGCCATTTTCGAGTTGCTTTTCATCTCTGTTTCAAAAGGAGTCCTGGTGCACAAGCTTCCATATGGAAATGAGTTTGATTTGCATGGAAATGAACGTGCAGGATCAAGAAAAATTCATTTCAATATTTAAGGTTGTTCACCAAGACTCGTTGTGCAACAGATGCAACAGCAATTCGGAAATGTGTTATTAGTGCGCGCGCCATCGCGCATCTAAGTCAATCTGAAGTTTAACCGTCTGCGTCAGGCCGGAGCTTATCCCGGGTTCTGTAGCGTGAAGAAACTAGGAACATTTCTTCTCCCCCGGGAGAGGATGATTGTCCATCGCAAGGTTACCCCCTGGATTAAATTCGCCAACCTGGGTGGAGAGAGGCACTGTAAGAGTTAAGTGTCTTGCCCAAGAACACAACACAGTGACCTCGGTCTTCTCGTTAATCCCGGCAAGAGCTTAGACCCCAGCGCGCTAACTATAAAACCACAGCATCTCCTATGAGTTAGCGATTGTTGTAAGGAACTCGTTAATCCTACCCACGTAAAACACTTTTTATTAAAATTGTTTGAAAATTAAGTAAAAAATATACTTGATAACACAAACTCGATATTGAAATAAGTAATTAACTGATCATTAAACTAAACACTCGGATTAACTCGAAACGCAACTTAATTGAAAATCACTCGGTACAAGTATAAAAAGGACATGACACTCGGCACTCGTTTCGATTCGCGTAATACATGTATAAGCTATCTTGAGCACTTGTAAAAACACCAGTTAATTTCATTAAAACACTCTTACGTTTATATTTCCTAGAAGGCTTTGCCAGTACAAATCGACTTCTCTATTTAAAGTGGGAACTTAGCGTAGGCTCTGTTTAATGAGGCATATTTTCTGAATGACACACTACACAAATTCTCTCAAAACACAAATATTTTTCGCCATTGAGTCAAATTCTCATACAATTCTCATAATTGTCCTTGAGAGAATTTAGTGTGGATCTAACGTTCACTGACCACTGGGTTACTTGAATTTGCTGTGAAGTAGTCAAGTGGAATTGGCCACAGCCTTCTTGAGGTCACTCACTAACTTTCTACACGTGTTTTAGTTCCAGCTTTTGATTGGTGGGATTCGCTACTTAAAGCTTTCGCAGATGAACAGTAAATTCCTCTTAACTTACTTCATTAAATTAGAATTGAAAAGAACAAGACTTATGAAAATAACCTAAAGTAACTACAAAAATACTTAATAACTAATTTAAAAAGTTTTCTAACAGCGTTCATGTCATATCACACCGCACTCTCCTCTTCTCCATCGGGCAGCATTCCGCCTGCAGGATTTCGAACCAGCGGTCTTCGTGTAAGTTTTGGCGAACCTCTCGGGGTAACATCCGGGGTCTGATCAGACCCCGATTCATCAGCATCCACGTACACATCCAGTAACTGCCTCATGGTATAGGCATTAGGATGATCACTCTGCTCGTCACCAGCAACGTACTTGCTCGATGCCTCTGTTCCTGGTTCGTGAACGTAAATCTGCTCCACTTCGGATCTCCTGCGCTTTCGTCGTCGACACACCACAATTATTATGATCAGAAAGAACAGCAAGAAGAAGACTGAAGATACCGAAATGACGATTATTTCTGTTGGAGTGAGCTTGCTGCCCTCTTCCTCGGTTGGACAACGCGGAAATGCGTCGTAAGTGCCATACAACTCGCACGGCTCTATCCCAAGCACTTTCTGGCAGTAGAAACCAAACAGACTCACTGACAACTTGTGGTGTGCAAGGCTGCCAGAATCAGCAATGTCTGCGAGACAAGACTCGTAATAAAACAGCGCTTGGGGTACCAGACGAGTGCTACAATATTTTTGTAACTTTCCTTCGTAGAACCACTTGTAACACTGGTTGAGGGCCTCCTCTTCGAGGCTTGCGTTCTTAAATGCCAGACTGTAGTTTGCTAACGGTGTCATGTGCACTCCTGACGGGGCCCATCCAGGGGAGTCTCCAGAGTGGATGAGTAACTGCACAGTGGTCATATTAACGGCTGGAGTCTCGAGAACGGAACTCGTCAGGTCAACAGGTACCGGACTGTAAAAGCGACCTTCAGTTGTCTGCCCCATTCCTTCGTCAAGAGGTACGTTTAGCACCAGACCTTCACGGTAGTCATCGAACTTGACGTTCATGGACGCGTTGATCTGCTCTATTGTCTTGGCATACTGCCATACCCTTAACTCGTCCAAAGCACCATGCAAGTCGTATTCACTGTCTACCATGTAGCCTCGCATGTAACGTCCCAGAACTAACAAACCATCTAAAGATAACTGCTTTCCAGTCATCACGCCAAAGGCTGTTGATTGTCGATGTTCGCCATCGGAGTAAGTAAACGTTTGTAGCCGGCCATCGATTGTTCTCCATGTCACAGCTAAATGCGTCCAGACACCTTCGTTGATGTTAATACCTGATGTAACTTGCTTCTTGTCCCACCTCACTTGTAATCCGTCTTTGCAAATGATAGCAAAGTCTCCACTAGTAGTGGCGACAGAAAAGAGAGCGTGACTTCCAGTGACTTGTTCAGTAGCTCCTTTCTGGCTCGAGGAGCAAAGTTGGGAAACGCTCGAGTCTGCATTTACTAAGCAGACCCATATTTCAATGGTAAACTCGTCTAGAAGTGGTAAGCTCGTGTTGCTTGCGAACATAACGGCTGTGTTGCTTGACGAGAACTCCAGCATGTAACCAGCTCCAGAGAAACTGCGCGAGGCGTGCTTGGTTGTCAGGAAATTGTCTTTATCCGTTATTTTGAATTCCGTGGTGAATTTTTGATCAAGGGTCTCTTGGCTAAGCTGATTATCATCTAGTTTTTCACTGTTGGAGGCGTTTGCTGCCGTTTCGTGCAGCGAAATGTTTTTCTTGCTCTGTTCTCTTATCCAGCCGCTCTCTTTCTCGCCACAGATGCCATCTGTTTGGGCTCTCATAGGCCTTGGAACTTGAATAGCCGTTCCCAAGGTTCCGTTGTAGGTAAGAATGTTAAATTGAATTTCCTCTGGGAAACCAACCTCCAGAATATTACTTGTGAGCCAGCGGTATTTGACATCAGCTACCTCAACCCAATCGTTAGAGTTGGAAAGCTTCGAAGATATATTACTTGTAATGTCAAGGCTCCTCGTTTCGATTGTCTCTAGATCGCTGTAGCTAACCGACACCTCTGTTTTCGCGGTGCGCAGAGCAATTTCGCTAATTCGCCTGCAGGACATTCTGTTATTGCATGGAACCAGCAGTACTTGTGCGACAACTACAGATGAATTGAAAAGCTGGTACGCACCGGGTGCTTCAAAGTGAAAGTTCACTCCTGTTACACTTGTAAAATGCGGATCACCAAAGTTTATAGCCACTCCTGGTTCGGTGGAATTCAGTATGGAGGATTCTTCTGCGATGGAGCAGTCTGCGCCCATCCAACCGGCCGTGCACTTGCTGCATGGCAATGGTAATTTGGGACTGCTTTCATCGAACGGGATGGTGACGTTGCCATTCCAGTGTGGTTCACACTCACATGTACCATTGGTTACACTGCAAACGCCGTGTCCGTTACACGTTCTCCTCAGCCCACCCGGGCACAGGTTTGAACAGTCCGTTCCCCAGTAGCTCGGCTCACACTTACAAGAGACGCCTTCTGTCGCGTTTACATCTGGGATGGAATAGCCAAAGACACATCGTGTGGTGCAATGTAAACCGATCCAGTATGGAAATCGTTGGTCGACAAAGTGATGGCAAAGTTCTTTTGCAGGCCACTCCTTTAGTTTTAGAGAACTCTGGCAAAAATCGGCGAAAGAAACGATAGCGTAGAAAGCGGAGTGTAACTTCATAGATACTGAGATGTCATGAAGGCACACTTTGTAGTAAAACTGTGCTACTTGAAGACTAAGACCTTCGCATCGAGTGTACAGCGGTCCGCTGAGAATAAGACTGAAACAGAACGATTCTGCTTCTCGCCGTAAATGAACGTTAACAAACGTAATTCCTTCAGGCTTCAAGGGGGGGATATCAGCATCCGAGAACGACCAGCGTGGCTCATGAAACTTAATCATTAACAGGTCACTTTTCCCAAGTAAGTCGCGAATGATTCTTCCTTCCACTTGGTTGAATTTCCAGAGGTGCAGCAGATCTGGATAAGTTTCAACTTGAACGTTTAATCTCCAGTTGACTTTCACAAGGTCTGGATTTGTCCGTCTTTTCCAGATGCGGAACTCGTCGATTTCGCCTACAAAGCTTGATTCAGGGAGCAGAGTGTCTGAACTAGGGGATGGCTGCCACTGCCCTAAGGCCAAGACTCCACCATTTGTAAGAACGTGACTGTCCAGCCTGAACACTCGAACTTTAACGTCTCCAGAGGAACTGAAATGATAAAAGTGAAGGACGCCAACAAGTTGTTTGAATACAATAGTGAGTTGATTCCACTGGTTGATTTCAAGCTTGAATCCGGTATGGAAAACGGTCCCTTTGTAGACAACTGCCAATGTCACATTGTCAATTACAGCAAAAATGCTTTGGCTTAAATAGGAGAAGATGACTCCTCCTGATTGCTGGGCTTTTATGAGCAGTTCAAAGGTCAGGACATCCACAAGAGGAAAATACATCGGACCCGAGCGAACAGAATGATCTCTGAAGAATAAATTGAATCCGGCGCCAGTAGGTCTGCGGTGTTCTAGGTACTGTAAATACTTGTAAATAAACAATGTTTGTGACTTATTAACTACTGAACTAATCTTCAGAGAGGTGATGTACGATTCAAGACTGCTCGTTCCGTTAAAGGAGTGGTCTTTGCAGGAACCAAGTAGGCCTGTTGCGTTTTGGCAGAAGATGGCTGGCACATTAATTGTTACACTAAGGCTGTGTCCCACAGTTAGCACAAACTTGATTCCGTTCGGACCGTATATATGAAACGTGACAGTGGAAATGCGTACCATGATGAAATCGGCGGATAGTTGAGTTCTGTGGTCAACTTCAACAAACTTGCCATTTAACCAAACCAAAGGAAAGACGGAAACTGTCCTTGAAAAAGTTGTGATTGGTGCACGAATGACAATGTGGTTTCCACCAAGGCCAAACGAAAAGCCTGTTGTGCAAAGCGAGGTGTAGGTTGCATCCGTAACACATGGAGCCTGTCGAAGCTGGATGACGAAATTGTATAGAGTGGACTGCAACAGATAGAATTCACCAACCACTCTATAGGTAAAGCTCACTCCAAAGAATGTTGTAAAGTAACCATATCCCCCAATGGATGCAGTCACTACAGTTTTCGTTGTTACGCCGGTGACAAGCTTGACAGCAAATTGACAGTTTGTTCCATTCCATCCCGGACTACAACTGGTACAGTTTGCATCACCCTCCCAATTCACGTCACATTGGCATCGTCCTGTGGTTGTGTCACACCATCCGTGTCCACCACATGTATTTAAAAGCCCGCCAGGACATGTCTGAGAACAGTCACTACCCCAGTAGCCTTTCATGCAGATGCAAAGGTTACGGTCTCTGGGATCCGCAGTACCAAAGATGCATTTCACATCACATCTCTCCCCAATCCATACTGGAAAGTGAGCTCCAGGGAACTTGTTACAAAGTGACTGAGCTGGCCAGGTGCTGGAGTTGAGGACCGCTTGGCAATGATCCGAGAAAGAGATAACGGCTACAAGAGCTGCACGGATGTGGCCGGTGGTTGCTATGTCTTTCAGGCAAACGAGATAGTGGTATTCCAGTTCAGCTTTCAAACGAAGGTCGCAGTAATCGTAAAGTGTGCTCTTGTAAAAAAGTTCGTAGCAAAAAGACATAGCATTGTCCTCTAGCGTCTTGTTGGGAAAATGCATATCAAAAGGTTTTTCAGATGAGGTTAAATTCGTCTTAACGTCAGCATCAGAAAATACCCACGTAGGCTGTTGCCATGGAGATCTTGGCAGATAGATATTTTCGTCTGTTACTAGGTTCACAATGACGTCACTTTCACCTTCGTTGATTTTCCAGAGCCCTGTGACATCGGGATGTGTGGGCACAACATTCATGCGCCAGTTTTGCAGTATCAGAGCTGGATTGAATGCTCGCTTCCAGACACGGATTTCATCAATGATGCCAACGAATGAGTTCACTGTGTAGGTTTCATTGTCTCCAGGCGACAGCTCCCATTGTCCCAGTGACAGAATACCGCCAGGTGTGAATGGATTGGAGGATAGAACGTACGATCTTCGTTGCACCTTTCCTTCAAAGTTGAAGTGATAGAACTCTAGTATTTGTGTCTCGTGATGNATCTAAGTCAATCTGAAGTTTAACCGTCTGCGTCAGGCCGGAGCTTATCCCGGGTTCTGTAGCGTGAAGAAACTAGGAACATTTCTTCTCCCCCGGGAGAGGATGATTGTCCATCGCAAGGTTACCCCCTGGATTAAATTCGCCAACCTGGGTGGAGAGAGGCACTGTAAGAGTTAAGTGTCTTGCCCAAGAACACAACACAGTGACCTCGGTCTTCTCGTTAATCCCGGCAAGAGCTTAGACCCCAGCGCGCTAACTATAAAACCACAGCATCTCCTATGAGTTAGCGATTGTTGTAAGGAACTCGTTAATCCTACCCACGTAAAACACTTTTTATTAAAATTGTTTGAAAATTAAGTAAAAAATATACTTGATAACACAAACTCGATATTGAAATAAGTAATTAACTGATCATTAAACTAAACACTCGGATTAACTCGAAACGCAACTTAATTGAAAATCACTCGGTACAAGTATAAAAAGGACATGACACTCGGCACTCGTTTCGATTCGCGTAATACATGTATAAGCTATCTTGAGCACTTGTAAAAACACCAGTTAATTTCATTAAAACACTCTTACGTTTATATTTCCTAGAAGGCTTTGCCAGTACAAATCGACTTCTCTATTTAAAGTGGGAACTTAGCGTAGGCTCTGTTTAATGAGGCATATTTTCTGAATGACACACTACACAAATTCTCTCAAAACACAAATATTTTTCGCCATTGAGTCAAATTCTCATACAATTCTCATAATTGTCCTTGAGAGAATTTAGTGTGGATCTAACGTTCACTGACCACTGGGTTACTTGAATTTGCTGTGAAGTAGTCAAGTGGAATTGGCCACAGCCTTCTTGAGGTCACTCACTAACTTTCTACACGTGTTTTAGTTCCAGCTTTTGATTGGTGGGATTCGCTACTTAAAGCTTTCGCAGATGAACAGTAAATTCCTCTTAACTTACTTCATTAAATTAGAATTGAAAAGAACAAGACTTATGAAAATAACCTAAAGTAACTACAAAAATACTTAATAACTAATTTAAAAAGTTTTCTAACAGCGTTCATGTCATATCACACCGCACTCTCCTCTTCTCCATCGGGCAGCATTCCGCCTGCAGGATTTCGAACCAGCGGTCTTCGTGTAAGTTTTGGCGAACCTCTCGGGGTAACATCCGGGGTCTGATCAGACCCCGATTCATCAGCATCCACGTACACATCCAGTAACTGCCTCATGGTATAGGCATTAGGATGATCACTCTGCTCGTCACCAGCAACGTACTTGCTCGATGCCTCTGTTCCTGGTTCGTGAACGTAAATCTGCTCCACTTCGGATCTCCTGCGCTTTCGTCGTCGACACACCACAATTATTATGATCAGAAAGAACAGCAAGAAGAAGACTGAAGATACCGAAATGACGATTATTTCTGTTGGAGTGAGCTTGCTGCCCTCTTCCTCGGTTGGACAACGCGGAAATGCGTCGTAAGTGCCATACAACTCGCACGGCTCTATCCCAAGCACTTTCTGGCAGTAGAAACCAAACAGACTCACTGACAACTTGTGGTGTGCAAGGCTGCCAGAATCAGCAATGTCTGCGAGACAAGACTCGTAATAAAACAGCGCTTGGGGTACCAGACGAGTGCTACAATATTTTTGTAACTTTCCTTCGTAGAACCACTTGTAACACTGGTTGAGGGCCTCCTCTTCGAGGCTTGCGTTCTTAAATGCCAGACTGTAGTTTGCTAACGGTGTCATGTGCACTCCTGACGGGGCCCATCCAGGGGAGTCTCCAGAGTGGATGAGTAACTGCACAGTGGTCATATTAACGGCTGGAGTCTCGAGAACGGAACTCGTCAGGTCAACAGGTACCGGACTGTAAAAGCGACCTTCAGTTGTCTGCCCCATTCCTTCGTCAAGAGGTACGTTTAGCACCAGACCTTCACGGTAGTCATCGAACTTGACGTTCATGGACGCGTTGATCTGCTCTATTGTCTTGGCATACTGCCATACCCTTAACTCGTCCAAAGCACCATGCAAGTCGTATTCACTGTCTACCATGTAGCCTCGCATGTAACGTCCCAGAACTAACAAACCATCTAAAGATAACTGCTTTCCAGTCATCACGCCAAAGGCTGTTGATTGTCGATGTTCGCCATCGGAGTAAGTAAACGTTTGTAGCCGGCCATCGATTGTTCTCCATGTCACAGCTAAATGCGTCCAGACACCTTCGTTGATGTTAATACCTGATGTAACTTGCTTCTTGTCCCACCTCACTTGTAATCCGTCTTTGCAAATGATAGCAAAGTCTCCACTAGTAGTGGCGACAGAAAAGAGAGCGTGACTTCCAGTGACTTGTTCAGTAGCTCCTTTCTGGCTCGAGGAGCAAAGTTGGGAAACGCTCGAGTCTGCATTTACTAAGCAGACCCATATTTCAATGGTAAACTCGTCTAGAAGTGGTAAGCTCGTGTTGCTTGCGAACATAACGGCTGTGTTGCTTGACGAGAACTCCAGCATGTAACCAGCTCCAGAGAAACTGCGCGAGGCGTGCTTGGTTGTCAGGAAATTGTCTTTATCCGTTATTTTGAATTCCGTGGTGAATTTTTGATCAAGGGTCTCTTGGCTAAGCTGATTATCATCTAGTTTTTCACTGTTGGAGGCGTTTGCTGCCGTTTCGTGCAGCGAAATGTTTTTCTTGCTCTGTTCTCTTATCCAGCCGCTCTCTTTCTCGCCACAGATGCCATCTGTTTGGGCTCTCATAGGCCTTGGAACTTGAATAGCCGTTCCCAAGGTTCCGTTGTAGGTAAGAATGTTAAATTGAATTTCCTCTGGGAAACCAACCTCCAGAATATTACTTGTGAGCCAGCGGTATTTGACATCAGCTACCTCAACCCAATCGTTAGAGTTGGAAAGCTTCGAAGATATATTACTTGTAATGTCAAGGCTCCTCGTTTCGATTGTCTCTAGATCGCTGTAGCTAACCGACACCTCTGTTTTCGCGGTGCGCAGAGCAATTTCGCTAATTCGCCTGCAGGACATTCTGTTATTGCATGGAACCAGCAGTACTTGTGCGACAACTACAGATGAATTGAAAAGCTGGTACGCACCGGGTGCTTCAAAGTGAAAGTTCACTCCTGTTACACTTGTAAAATGCGGATCACCAAAGTTTATAGCCACTCCTGGTTCGGTGGAATTCAGTATGGAGGATTCTTCTGCGATGGAGCAGTCTGCGCCCATCCAACCGGCCGTGCACTTGTTGCATGGCAATGGTAATTTGGGACTGCTTTCATCGAACGGGATGGTGACGTTGCCATTCCAGTGTGGTTCACACTCACATGTACCATTGGTTACACTGCAAACGCCGTGTCCGTTACACGTTCTCCTCAGCCCACCCGGGCACAGGTTTGAACAGTCCGTTCCCCAGTAGCTCGGCTCACACTTACAAGAGACGCCTTCTGTCGCGTTTACATCTGGGATGGAATAGCCAAAGACACATCGTGTGGTGCAATGTAAACCGATCCAGTATGGAAATCGTTGGTCGACAAAGTGATGGCAAAGTTCTTTTGCAGGCCACTCCTTTAGTTTTAGAGAACTCTGGCAAAAATCGGCGAAAGAAACGATAGCGTAGAAAGCGGAGTGTAACTTCATAGATACTGAGATGTCATGAAGGCACACTTTGTAGTAAAACTGTGCTACTTGAAGACTAAGACCTTCGCATCGAGTGTACAGCGGTCCGCTGAGAATAAGACTGAAACAGAACGATTCTGCTTCTCGCCGTAAATGAACGTTAACAAACGTAATTCCTTCAGGCTTCAAGGGGGGGATATCAGCATCCGAGAACGACCAGCGTGGCTCATGAAACTTAATCATTAACAGGTCACTTTTCCCAAGTAAGTCGCGAATGATTCTTCCTTCCACTTGGTTGAATTTCCAGAGGTGCAGCAGATCTGGATAAGTTTCAACTTGAACGTTTAATCTCCAGTTGACTTTCACAAGGTCTGGATTTGTCCGTCTTTTCCAGATGCGGAACTCGTCGATTTCGCCTACAAAGCTTGATTCAGGGAGCAGAGTGTCTGAACTAGGGGATGGCTGCCACTGCCCTAAGGCCAAGACTCCACCATTTGTAAAGACGTGACTGTCCAGCCTGAACACTCGAACTTTAACGTCTCCAGAGGAACTGAAATGATAAAAGTGAAGGACGCCAACAAGTTGTTTGAATACAATAGTGAGTTGATTCCACTGGTTGATTTCAAGCTTGAATCCGGTATGGAAAACGGTCCCTTTGTAGACAACTGCCAATGTCACATTGTCAATTACAGCAAAAATGCTTTGGCTTAAATAGGAGAAGATGACTCCTCCTGATTGCTGGGCTTTTATGAGCAGTTCAAAGGTCAGGACATCCACAAGAGGAAAATACATCGGACCCGAGCGAACAGAATGATCTCTGAAGAATAAATTGAATCCGGCGCCAGTAGGTCTGCGGTGTTCTAGGTACTGTAAATACTTGTAAATAAACAATGTTTGTGACTTATTAACTACTGAACTAATCTTCAGAGAGGTGATGTACGATTCAAGACTGCTCGTTCCGTTAAAGGAGTGGTCTTTGCAGGAACCAAGTAGGCCTGTTGCGTTTTGGCAGAAGATGGCTGGCACATTAATTGTTACACTAAGGCTGTGTCCCACAGTTAGCACAAACTTGATTCCGTTCGGACCGTATATATGAAACGTGACAGTGGAAATGCGTACCATGATGAAATCGGCGGATAGTTGAGTTCTGTGGTCAACTTCAACAAACTTGCCATTTAACCAAACCAAAGGAAAGACGGAAACTGTCCTTGAAAAAGTTGTGATTGGTGCACGAATGACAATGTGGTTTCCACCAAGGCCAAACGAAAAGCCTGTTGTGCAAAGCGAGGTGTAGGTTGCATCCGTAACACATGGAGCCTGTCGAAGCTGGATGACGAAATTGTATAGAGTGGACTGCAACAGATAGAATTCACCAACCACTCTATAGGTAAAGCTCACTCCAAAGAATGTTGTAAAGTAACCATATCCCCCAATGGATGCAGTCACTACAGTTTTCGTTGTTACGCCGGTGACAAGCTTGACAGCAAATTGACAGTTTGTTCCATTCCATCCCGGACTACAACTGGTACAGTTTGCATCACCCTCCCAATTCACGTCACATTGGCATCGTCCTGTGGTTGTGTCACACCATCCGTGTCCACCACATGTATTTAAAAGCCCGCCAGGACATGTCTGAGAACAGTCACTACCCCAGTAGCCTTTCATGCAGATGCAAAGGTTACGGTCTCTGGGATCCGCAGTACCAAAGATGCATTTCACATCACATCTCTCCCCAATCCATACTGGAAAGTGAGCTCCAGGGAACTTGTTACAAAGTGACTGAGCTGGCCAGGTGCTGGAGTTGAGGACCGCTTGGCAATGATCCGAGAAAGAGATAACGGCTACAAGAGCTGCACGGATGTGGCCGGTGGTTGCTATGTCTTTCAGGCAAACGAGATAGTGGTATTCCAGTTCAGCTTTCAAACGAAGGTCGCAGTAATCGTAAAGTGTGCTCTTGTAAAAAAGTTCGTAGCAAAAAGACATAGCATTGTCCTCTAGCGTCTTGTTGGGAAAATGCATATCAAAAGGTTTTTCAGATGAGGTTAAATTCGTCTTAACGTCAGCATCAGAAAATACCCACGTAGGCTGTTGCCATGGAGATCTTGGCAGATAGATATTTTCGTCTGTTACTAGGTTCACAATGACGTCACTTTCACCTTCGTTGATTTTCCAGAGCCCTGTGACATCGGGATGTGTGGGCACAACATTCATGCGCCAGTTTTGCAGTATCAGAGCTGGATTGAATGCTCGCTTCCAGACACGGATTTCATCAATGATGCCAACGAATGAGTTCACTGTGTAGGTTTCATTGTCTCCAGGCGACAGCTCCCATTGTCCCAGTGACAGAATACCGCCAGGTGTGAATGGATTGGAGGATAGAACGTACGATCTTCGTTGCACCTTTCCTTCAAAGTTGAAGTGATAGAACTCTAGTATTTGTGTCTCGTGATGCCAAACAAGTGATATGTGACTCCACTGGTTGATAGTTACATTGACACCCGTATCAATAATCGTTTTGCCAAAGTGTATCGTGATGGAATGTTTTATTGTTATAGCGAACGTTTGCAGGACTGCATAGGAGAAAACTGTTCCGCCGAGCTGGTAGGGCTTTAGGAGGATTTCAATTGTAATATCTACGTTGGCAACAAATGTCTTCGTCAGTGGTCTTGACGAAGCCCCCGTTTGGTTAAAGACCAGAGCGTATATACCTCCGGATGGTAATCGTGTCTCTTGATAGTGTTCGAACGTCAAAACAATCAGGCTGTCTATTTCCAGTACAAGAGCATGGCTTCCAACCTCTACATTTATTGCTGACTGGGTCGTGTTTCCAGGAGTGATGCTCGCGTTGGAACTAACTGTAAGATCGTTGCTAGGATCATTATCGCATGACCCAAGTAAGCCAGTCGAGTTATAACAGTACGGCGACTTGACGTCTACTTTGAAGCTCAAATACCGCCCATCAATTCGAATGCGTATGGCAAAATTGTCCTTCCATGCAATCTGGTAGTGACTGTGTCCCTCGTACTTGAGTTGGATCCCAAGATGGAGGGAACCAAGATTTGTGACCAGTCCTGACAAAAGAATGAGCTTTCCGTTGACCCAAATAACTGGAGCTCCATCAGTAGTGTAGGGGGCATGAAAAGATATCACGGTCGAGGAAACCCGTATTCCAATTGCGTTGACACAAACCGAGTGCAATCTGCAGGGCACATGACGCACTTGCACCTGGAATGACATATGAGGTATATTTATCAGGTAGTATTCACCAACTGCCACGAGAGTAAAGCTGTAGCCGTCAAAAGTAACGTAATGACCTCCAGTCGATGATATTGCAATGGAGAGTTGCAACCAGTTCAGAGACACCAGGGCAAGGGAACAGTCGGACCCAGTCCACCCTGAGGAGCACTTGCCACAGTCTAGTGTTCCATTGTAATTAGCAGTACATTCACATTCCCCTGTGACGCTGTTACACACTCCGTTGTTGTTACATGGTGTTGCAGCTCCTCCGGGACACGGGTTTGCGCACTCTGAACCCCAGTAGCCATGGTCGCATACGCAACTCTCAGAGTCCAGCTTCTTACCAAAGACGCATTTCATGTCGCAACGCTCTCCAAACCAAATAGGAAAATCACGTCCAAGAAATTCATTACAAAGTGGTTTGGCTGGCCAGACCGTTAGGTTGTTGATGGCCTGGCAGTAGTCAGCATACGCAATAATAACCTCCATGGACATGTACAAAGACCCAAAGCTTGCAATTCTTCGGAGGCAAAACCTGAAGTAAAACATAGACACGCCTGGTCCCAAGGAGTGACAGTTTGAATACAGTGGTCCCATTAACAACGTTCTGTTACAGAAAAGTTCAGCTTCAGTTTGTAAGGTTTTGTTCTTAAAGGGGAAATCTTGTTCTCTATCGTAGAAAGGCAGTTGCAACACTACATCGGAATACTTCCATTCCGGTTTCCTCCATGGCTTAAAAGGAAGCTCGAGTTTCATACCGGTTACTTTGTCTACAGCTTCGATTCCTTCACCTTCGTTAAACTTCCATGCGTGCGCGAGATCTTGCGTTTCAACGCTCACCGATCTGTTCCAGGTCTGCAGAATGAACGCAGGATGGAAATAGCGCGTCCATATACGCACTTCATCTATGAATCCAGCAAAGAAGTCAACAGGCTGAATTCCGGAGCCGTCCAGAGATGGTATCCAACTAGCCAAAGCGATGATGCCCCCTGGAGCAAAGATATCGAAACCAATGTTGATATCAAGGCGATGCAACTGGCCTCCAGACGAAAAGTAGTAGAAGTGCAATATTAAAGTGGATTTTCGGAACACAAGGCTAATCTGGTTCCATTTATTAAGCTCCGAGGCGATATTTGTATGGTACACGTTGTCTCCGTAGTAGATTGTAAACTTTCCTCCTGTGTTAGTTACAAAAAAGGTCTTACTCGTAGTATAGGATATGATAACCCCGTACCGGACTGTTTTGAACATGAGCTTTACTGTTATGTCCGTGAAAGAGAATGCTTTGTAGATTACTCCCGAGACCACTGTAGTGTGGTCAAAGTAAAGTGCGTACCCGGCATTTGCATCGCGATATTCTACAACGTCCTTGTACTTATATTGAAACAAACTGTGGCATTCTTTGACCTTGAGCTTGGTGGTAATAAGGGTTTTTATAACCTCTTGGGTCTTGGTCTTGCTATCGGACACATTCGTTTCAAGTGACGAGTCCTCTGCTTGGTGGAAATTGTTGGGCTGGTTTCCGCTTACGTTGAACATAAAGCTTCCTTCAGAACAGTTTTTAGTTGGATGATAAGACACGAGCGATTCCAGCAATCCCTGGTTACAAGAGCCTAGTAGGCCAATTGCGGACTTGCACACCAAACCCGATGCGCTTGCACTTAGGGTCAAGTAGCGTCCTGTCACACGTATTTTCAGGTATAGCCCTGCATATTTGACCTCCCAGAGATAAGCTGTGATCTTGTTGACCTCAAAACCGTAGCTTTGAAGAGTGATTCGATGCAAATCAATGTCGATGACTTTACCATTTAACCAGACGATAAGGTTTCCACCAGATGTATAAGGCCCATGTAAAACAACTTTGTGCGAAGATATTTTAAGCGCGATGGAATTGACGCAAGATAGCTGTTGGAAGCACGATACCAGACGAATTTGCACAACGACGGACAGATGGATAGAGTAAATAAGATAATACTCCCCTGTAATGTAAAGGCTGTAACTGATTCCACTGAGTGATGTAAACTGTCCGCCAAGTGACACTGTCCCAACTCCAACCAAAACACTTCCAGATGGCCACTGAGTGACTGCTGTCGAACAATCTGTCCCAGCCCAACCACGAGCACAAGCTGAGCAGTTTTCATTTCCTTTCCAATTAAGCTCACATGAACATTTTCCAGTTACGACATCGCAGATTCCATGATTGTTACATGCTCGTCCACTCCCTCCTGGGCAAATTCCAGAGCAGTTTATGCCATAAAACCCTGGATCGCATATGCAGACTTCACTTTCATTTGATGCTTGACCGAAAATGCAAGGGGTCGAGCAGTTCCTGCCTATCCAGTTCGGGAAACGCTTGCCAGGAAACTCGTTGCATAGAGATTGCGCTGGCCAGTAAGGCAAACCAAGCGTTTTCTGGCAATAATCTGCAATTGTCACCACGGCATCGATAGATTGAACTGTTGATCCGGTGCCCACTACGGCTTCTACACAGGCGCGGAAATAAAACTCTAGTGTGACATTGCCCAGCCTCAAGCAAGCAGAATAAATTGGTCCCTTATAAATGAATCCGAAGCACACGTTAGTGGCGATAACTTGCAAAGTCACGTTGTTCTCATTCGGATTCAGTACGACAACGGACGCGATGGGTGCATCAGAGAAGACCCACTTTGGCTCTTCCAAGGGATATTTTGGAAAGAATAAAGTTACACCGGAAACAAGGTCTTTAACGATAGTATTTTCACCCTCGTTGAACTTCCACAAATTTGTAAGTGATGGAGCATTAGGCTGAATATTTGCTCGCCAACTTTGTTCAACTAATGCATAATCAAAGGGTCTTTCCCACACGCATATCTCATCTATTTGTCCAAAGAAGACATTTGTTGGCTGAACGCTTATGGATCCAGAAGCAGGTTGCCACATGCCAATAGCAAATGTTCCTCCAGTTACAAAAGGATCGACGGTAAAATTGAACTTTCGTACTTGCACAAGCCCAGATGAAAATGTCACAAACACAAAGAGTTCCAGCTTTGCACGAACAAATACAACGGAGATCTGATTCCACACATCTGTTTCAGTGGCAATGCCAGTGTCAAAGACATCCAGCCCGATAACAA